CTGTTCCTTTGAAACTACGAGTTTTGACAGGTATGAAGTTGCTGATGTTGGTGATTTTGACAAGGTCTTGCTTTTAGTTGTCTGTAACAATTAGGACAGCGGTCTGCAATTCTGCTTAAATTTCTGAAATCATTTGTCCTTGGTTCTTACTTTTTACTAATATGTCGTGAAGTTTTTCTTTTGGTGGACCTCGATGGTCCACGAAATTTATTAAGCAAGAAAAATAACGCCTAGAAAGGGGTAGGGTAGTAATAAGCCTAAACTATCAGAAGAAGCCTATTTAAAAGTGTAAAGGGAGAATTATAAAGATGCCTGTGATGCAAAAATTTTAGTAATTCTACATCCGGGAAACCCCAAAAATCTTGCATGATATAGAAACAATTTCCATGGGGGGAAGACCCCACCAATGAAAGACCTAGATCAACTAAAAATTATCCACAAGGATTTTCCTCCTTAAAGGTGTGCATAAACCTGACTTTCATTTGACCAATGAAGAAAGAATAATTATACCATGATCTTGACCTTTCATGGAGATTGCAAAGTTTCACTAGTAAAACATTGAATAGCTGACATGGAAGTACTTTCAAACATGTCCTGAAGTTGACATTTTGATCAATTATATTAGTCACGAGTTATTTTTTTAAGATTTCCCTTCCAATGAAGTAATAAGATTATAGAGGCATATATAATCATAATAGTTGCCTTGATGAATTCCTCATTTTACTATTTATATATTTCTGATAGAAAGTAAAAGGTGTGTATTAATGAGGAAGCAGAATGACAGAAGTGGACTAGGTTTTTATGATAGCAAAAACAAAACATTATTTTCCTCTACAGGATCTCTTGAGGTGATATTTGCATAATTATTGTATTTCTGTTGTTAGAAGCACATTGTCTGGGATGGTATACCTTGAGTTACACAGATTCCTTGTAGCTGACTTCTTATTTCTTATTTATGCAGGATTTCTTCTTAGAGAAATCAAAGATTTTTGGCGAGTTGCCTTGTTGATGTCTATCTTGTTATATCCCAGTGATGTTTACCATACTGATGATATTCTAAACAAGCACTTTCAACTGGACAAAAGACGAGATTTATTTGAGGCAGTAGAGAATGCAATTACTAAACTAGGTATGGCCAAGGCTCCTTTCTATAGTCCTTACGGTTCGCTGTTAATTCATACTTGGTAGTACTTGTTTGACCCTCCAGAATATGGATTACTAAATACATATTCTTTATTTTATACTTGTAACCCAAAAGTTTAGGAAATACAATTCATTGATGCTTAAGCATGGCCATTGTGTGAGTAGCCAGCTAGCCATTTAGATAGTTGCTATGATAGCTTAATATAAAATAAAAAAATGTTTTAAATTGGTTTTAGAATACGATTAAACTGAATATGAAAATATCCATTAGAAGATTGAAATCAATGGATGGCCCTTCTTTTGCAAGATATGAAACAAAGTTTCATCAGTTTGTGAGTACAACTTGGTGATTAATTCTAGCAAACAAGCACGATGCTTGATATTGTACATGAAACAAAATTTTAAAATGTCTTGTCTGATGTTCAAATTATGTCAAAATGCAGGTCTTGAGAAAGTGTGGGACGTGAAACCTTTGGTTAATGGGAAGGAGATTATGAGTGTTTTGCAGCTTAAATCTGGAGGGCCACTTGTTAGGAAGTGGGTAATTAATTCTTTACTTTGCAGCAACAAAAACTGCTTGCATGGCAGCTTGCCCATCCCTCTGGGACTGCGGAGGACTGCCTTGACTGGATGAAGGAATCCCACTCAAAGCTTGTAAAGCTTGAGTCTGGCAATTCAGTTGATTGATCTAAAGCTATAATTAGCGTTTGTTCTTTTGGATTACACATTTATTTTTTGAGACATTGAGGCTGGATAAACATTTTTGAAGACCGTGAACATCCATCGGTTCTGGATGCCATAGTTTATTACATTTGCAACGAGATGGGATTGAAGTCATTTTACAGCAAGAAGATTTTATCTTCCTATAGGAGTAAAGGAGGAAAGGAAATAAAAAGAATTAGGTTAATGTGTGAATTAGCTGTGTTGTATAGATCCTCAAAATCTGTCTATAAACTTATATTAGAATCTGGCTGTTCAGATTTTACATTGATTTTGTAGTGTCTAGTTTAAGATATAATTACTATTTGATTTGGTTGTTGACTGTGAACAGAAGGCATGTGAGAAGCCTTAGGTGGTCAGAATTATTATTTGCTAAAAAGAGAAAAATAAAATAATAAAAGGTGGCAATATATATATTAACAATTGTTAAGAAATATGGGTTATTTTGTTTTATTGTTTATTAAGGGTAGATTTGTCTTTTCATTATTTCCTTTGTTTAGCCTATATATATATATCTTTGTATTTAGGTTAAATCATACTTTTTGTATTCAATTGAATTGTGCAATATCAATGAAACCCTAGCCTCCTCTTTTTATTATTTTCTTTGGATTGTTTAACAACAATAAGATTGTTCAGTAAAATGGCTTCAAGGCTTTCAACATCACATGCTGATTTGAAAAAGTTAGGATAAAAGGAAATTGCCCTCCTTTCTTGGAAGATGACTAAACAATGAAATACGAAATCTTAATTTATTTCCATCACATAATGTTATGTTAATTACTTAATTAACTTTGCAAGGGTAAAAATGTCATTTTGCAATCTAACTGGAGGCCTTTTTGAAAATAATTAAATCGAAGAAAATACTTAATGTATTAGTTAATGAAACGTAGAGTTAATGAGTTTTGAAAACAATTGGTGCGTTTGGCTTATTATTTCTATTCATATTTTTAATCCTATTTTTCAAATATTATTTGGCACATTATTTTAGAAATATTATTATATTTTTTAATTATTTTTAGACCCCTCAAGTTTACTAATTTTTTAAATATCCCTAGAAAAAAGTTTAAAAATTAACCAAAACACCCCCATCAACCCATATTTGTTAGATTCTGGTAACCACCATCGATGGTAGCAAGAATCTGTACAATGGCCTACACCACGACCAGAACTTGCCGGTAGTTCACCGATCTGGCCATTGTCGACCGAAAAAGACGATCATATCTTTGACTTTTTTTGGCCGTCGACAGCCACATCTGATCGTAGATCTGACCTGAAAAATGCTATATCGACACGTTACGACACAGATCCTACCGGTCTATGTCGTAATGCAATTTCTGGCTAGATTTCGGCTATGGTGACTAGAATCTGGCACTGTAGGTGGTGGGGGTGTTTTTGTCATTTTACATGTTGGAGTGTTTAATTAAATTAGCAAACCTAGGGATTTTTTTTATAAATTTATAAATTTTACCTTGTAATACTCCCTTATTCAACTACCCAATATTATTCTCAAAATCCTATCTAAAATAATGTTTTCATCTCTTTTATTTAAATTCTAAGCTTTTTGAAAAGCCAGAAAAAAAAAAAAAAGAAAAAAAAAAAAAAAGGAGAGCGGATAAAAAAGTGATGGACAATGGATTGAAAGTAAATAAAACAAGAAATTAAAGGGTCTGATGGGGGTAGGAACATCGAAATAATGGCATAAGAACCGTATCATTAATATATTATTTTTTGTCTTTAAAAATCCTTGTTTAATAAAGGATATTACTTATTTCAATACTAAAAAGCAAACGCAGAAATAGAAAAAGATAAGACACAATCAATACCCCACTTCATAGTATTAAAATTCTAAATTGAAAGAAAATTAAACAAGTTTGAATCCCAAGAAAGAAAGGTGGACGGCCATTCTCTTTCCTTCTCTAACACGCTTATAGAACATCCACTGAAGTCAACACCAATTACTTTACCATTCTAAAGTCTCTGTAACGCCAGTGAACATTTCCCAAATCTCCAAACACTGATTGCTTCAACCCAAGTCCGATGGCTTCTTCTTCGTCTTCTCCTACTCAAGAAAAGTACCATGTTTTTCTTAGTTTCAGAGGTGAAGATACTCGCAACGGTTTTACCAGCCACCTCAATGCAGCTTTGTGCCAGAAAAAGATTAAAACTTTCATCGATGATGAACTTAGAAGAGGAGATGAGATTTCACCCTCTCTTTTGAAGGCAATTGAAGGATCTAAGATTTCAATTGTCATTTTCTCTAAAGACTATGCTTCTTCTCGATGGTTCTCGAAGAACTCGTGAAGATCATGGATTGCAGGATGATGCATGATCAGATTGTGATTCCAGTTTTCTATCATGTAAATCCATCAGATGTAAGGAAGCAAAGTGGGAGTTATGGAGATGCATTTGCTAACCATGAAGTACGGTACCGGCAGAGGGAAGAGATGTTGCAGAGATGGAGGAGTGCTTTGACGGATGCGGCCAATCTATCTGGCTTTGATTCCAATGTCGTCAGGTGACTGCTTTCGCTTGATATTATTTTCTCAATGAAATTCAGCTCTTCTACGTGCATATACAACTACTATTTGGCTTTTATTTTTTTATTTTTCACACACACATATATATGTATATATGATGAAGACATAACAAAATAGCTTAAATAAAGTTCCTAAATTGGAAATCGTTTGATATCAAATGATTAACTAATCTTTTCATGGGGCAATATCGTAAATTCATTAGTAGACAGTCGTTATTTTTAAACATCAATTTTTATTGTACTGAGCTTTGAGATATGGAATTAGATAGATAATAAAAATTTTATCACTATGTTGAAAATTTTAAATTATATCATTTATGAATTTCGCCCTCTCTCACTTGAATTTCTAGCTCTGTCACTACAGTTAATTGATAACCAAACAACCAATAATTTTTTGACAAAAAGTTGTATTTAGGTTTATTGCATAAGCTTTATATGCCATAAGCTCTTCTTGAAGAGTTCCAACCAAATGGGTACTTATATAGTTGTAACTGTAAAATATGGACTTTAATTATTATTATATGATATATATAAAAAGGTTTGGATTGTGTAATCAAATAAATTTAATTGTAATCAAGCCCAAAATTTTTTATTTTCAAGGATGGACAAAAGTGGGTAATTGGCACTTGACTTTGTCTTTATTTCTCTAACTTTTAAATTCACGCTTATTGTTTTCTTTTTACTTTTTGTTTAAATTTTAGGCCTGAATCAAAACTTATAGAGAAAATTGTTGAAGATATTTTGAAGAGATTGAATATTATGTCTTCTAGTGATAACAAGAAATTGGTTGGAATTGCAATGAAGATTCAAGAAATTAAAATTTTATTGTCTTATGGGCCAAAAGACGTATGCAAGGTAGGCATTTGGGGTATGGGTGGAATAGGCAAGACAACTCTGGCAAATGCAGTCTTCCGTGAAATCTCAAATCAATTTGAAGGTTCTTATTTCATTCAAAATGTTCGGGAAGAATCAGAGAAACGTGGACTAATTCAATTGCAAGAAAAATTTCTTTCTAAAATATTAGGGTATGGACACCACAATATAAGGGATGCTTCCACAATAGAAAGGCTTCGAATGAAAAAGGTTCTCCTTGTTTTTGATGATGTAACACATTTAAATCAAATAGATGAATTAATTGGAGACTTTGAAAACTTGGGTTCGGGAAGTCAAATAATTATAACAACGAGAGATAAACAAGTGCTTGTAAATTGTAGAGTGGATAATGTTGCCATATATGAGGTCAAAGGATTATATGGTGATGAATCTTTTCGCCTTTTTGGCCAACATGCCTTCAAACAAGACCATCATATCAATGAAGAGTATATGGCGCTATCAAATAGAGTAATAAGTTATTCTAAAGGTGCGCCGTTAGCTCTTAAAGTCTTAGGTTGTTTCCTACATGATAGGAGAAAACATGAATGGGAAAGTACATTGGAAAAATTGAAAAATTGTCCACACCAAGATATCCAATCGGTGTTAAAGATAAGTTATGACGGATTAGATGTTGAAGAGCAGGGTTTATTCCTAGATGTTGCATGCTTCTTTAATGGATGGGATGAACATCTAGTTCGTAAATTCTCTTCAAGTATTGACTAAAAGTACTCATTGATAAGGCGCTCATAACTATTTCATACAAAACGATAAAAGTCCATGATTTGCTTCAAGAAATGGGCAAGGAAATTGTTCGGCAAGAATCCGTAAACATACCGGGCCAACGTAGTCGATTGTGGCATGATAATGATGTCTACAGTGTACTAAAAAAGAATAAGGTAAATACAGAAAAAGTAAGCTTTCAGTTTCTATTTTTTTTATCATTTGCGAAATCTAGAAAGATAATATCTAGGAGATTTTAATTTTAATATTTCCTTATACATGTTCATGTGGCATTGAGATTGGGACTGGGAGGTATATATTTGAACTATTGTTAGAAGTCTTACGTTTCTTTCTTTATTGAGAAAACAAAAATTATGGGAAAAAGGCATTGTAAAAGAAATTTTTGACGTCAGTAGCTTCTCTGCACATATTAGGACGAGTGTTCTTATTATCAATTCTCATAGTACTGTTTTAATACCCGTCTTCCTTTTGCTCGATCAAATTTTATGATACATCTATAAGGAATTAGTATACAGCCAAAGGCAGGCCAAAGCAGAGTGATCTTTGTTTGCAAACAAGGAATTTTGATTTGTCTTACCAGTTATCTTTCTTATTCCGATGAATTTTTTTGTTTTTTCTTTAATTCATAAAATCAGAAGATGAGATTAAAAATAGTTTGAAGAGTCAGAGTTAAATAAAACTGAACATAAGAGATTACAAAATTGGTATTTTTGAAATAATTAGATAGAATTTATAAAACCTAAGTTTTTTAATTAATCTTATTTAAATTGGGGCTTAGAAAGAGATTTGGTGGGGCTTAAATAACACCACTCCTTAATATTTCTTTATACATTAGTTCACATGGTAAAAGGCTTGGGTGGTAGGTTTGCAAGCTATATATATATTTTTATGTAATTGTGTTGTTAACTTATCATTTGATTTTGATTGTAGGGAACTGATAAAATACGAGGCCTTTGCTTTAATATATCTACAATGAGAGAGATGCACTTAAATCCTCATGCTTTCTCAGAGATGGATTATCTAAGATACTTGATAGTAAAATATACAAGCAGCAATGGTAATGTGCATGGTTTTGAAGGCCTCCAATTTGATTTCACAGAGTTGAGATGCTTCTTTTGGGATTCTTACCCTTTGACATCGTTGCCTTTGAAATTTGATCCTCAGAACCTTGTTGTACTTATGATGCGTAGAAACAATCTTGAACAACTATGGTCTGGTATCAAGGTATGTGTTGATTTCATATGACAATTTTCTTTTATAAATTTTAAATATTAGATTTTCTAATTTGTCCTTCTCATATATTTTTTTTTATAGGATCTTGCTAATATAAAATATATTGACCTAAGTTACTCAAAACATCTACTTAAAGTCCCAGACCTCTCAAAGGCTCAAAATCTAGAGTGCTTGATTCTAGAAGGTTGTACAAGGTTGTTGGAGGTCATTGCTCCATCTCAAAATCTCAATAAACTTGTTAATTTGAATCTAAGAAATTGCAAAAGCCTTATCAGTCTCCCAATTGGCATTCAATCTAAGTCTTTAAGAGATGTTGTTCTCTCTGGCTGCTCTAGTCTCAACGCAGCTCCAAGGATCTCATGTAATATGGAACGATTGTGTTTAGATGGAACTGCAATAAAAGCATTATCTTCTTCGATCGAAAGTCCCTCGAGACTAGTTCAATTGAATCTTCAGGGTTGTTCAAGGCTTGAAAGTCTTCCAAGCAGCGTTTGTAATTTGCATTCCCTTAGACAACTTAATCTCTCTGGTTTTTCAAACCTAAAGTTTGTTCTAGGGATCCCACGCAATATAGTAGGGTTATATTTAGATGGAACTGCGATAAAAGAACTGCCTTCATCAATTGAGAATGTATCCAGTCTAGTAATATTGGATCTTAGAAATTGTTCAAGCTTTGAGAGTCTTCCAGATGGCATTTGTAAATTGAAGTCTCTTAAACATCTCTATATCTCTGGTTGTTTGAAGCTTGATAGATTGCCCGAAGACATAGGAGATTTAGAAAGTTTGGAAGTGCTAGAAGCTAATGGAATTACTATAAGAGAAGTACCATCATCTATGGGACGTTTGAAGAATCTTCATGATTTATCTTTTGTGGGATGTAAGAGTCAAGAGCTGGTGTGTTCTCTATCGCCTATTTTTCCAGATCTTCTATTTCTAAGGAGATTAAATTTAAATTACTGCAGTCTTACAGAGTTACCCAATAATCTTGGCGACTTGTCCTCCCTCACAGATTTAAAATTAGACGGAAACAATTTTGAGGGTGTACCAACAAGCATCATTAACCTTTCTGCTTTATTTCAACTTAGTGTACGGTTTTGTAATAGGCTTCAATCTTTACCAATGCTTCCATTTAGTATACAAGAAGTAGAGGCAGATGGTTGCAAGTTGCTGAAAGCATTATCTGGTTGGAAAATTCCGAGTGATGGATTTTGCACAGGGACACATAGCTTCGTCAATTGCTTCAATCTAGATTGGAATGCTGGTGGAAAGACTTTGAATGATGATCTGTTGAAAAAGTACTCAGCTGGAACTGTACGGTTGTTTTTTTCAGTCTATCTCAATCCCATATGATTTTAATTTCCTCTTCTTTTATATAAAATAAAAGCACGATATTAAATTAATAATTTTAGAAGTGACAAATTTTATTGTGCAGAATTCATATTTCAGTACATCATGTATGGTTTTCCCTGGAAGTGAAATTCCAGAGTGGTTTGACATTCAAAGCAATGGATCTGAGATAGAGCTACCACATGGATCGTTCAATCATAAGCTTATCGGTTTTGTCTGTTGTGCCATTATCAGAGAAGAAAATGGTTTCATTTTTGCGGGGGGTAGAGTTCAGTTTGAGTTGCTTCTAAAAGTCCGAAATCGTAGATTTGAGTATGAGCAATTAGGGCTGTGCAAAACTAGGTACCCGCTCCGAATTTGGCCAAAAACCGGATACCCGAAAATTCGGGTACCTCAAAAAATATACCCGCTAACCGAACCGGTTTTAAACTACCCGGTTTTGCGGGTACCCGAAAATTCGGGTCAAAAACCGGGTATCCGATTTTGGTACCCGAATTTTTTATATTGTTTGGTTACAAAATTTTTAAAAAGATTTCAAATATTAATTAACCAAAAAGAAAAAGGTTTTAACATGTAAGAATAGATTGAAATTTTAACAATTTAATTAAGCTCCAAAAGTCACAAACTACAATGAAGAATCTCAAAAAGCCGTAAAAATTTATTTAAAATCCTACAAGCCTCAAAATAACACCAAAAATTCATGTGTGTTAATTTTTATGCTTAAAAAGCTTTTCTTACAATAATAAACCTAGATAATTTGTTTCATTGTCGACCAACTCAACTGGATAATTTCGGCTTCAAATATGTAATTAATTTATGAGAAAATACATATTTACATGGGTTTTATGAATTATGATTGATGTCAAAATCTGTGATTTGCCCCACAACTTAGTATCATTAGTTAAATATATTACAAAGTATAGAAATGTACAACTTATTATCATACCTTACTTCAGTGATCGTTTATTGTTTTTTAAGGCTAGCCTTGTCATTTACGATTGTCGTAAACAAGTTATTCTCCCACAGTTGATAAACTAGAAAAAATTTCTGCCAAACTAAGAGGTATACCTACAATAGTTTTGAGAGACTCAAGTTATATGATATATTCAAGCCGAAGAACTAAAAGAGAGTGAAAGTGCTTTAATAAAGCTAAATTTTCTGGACACTTTTGTGTATGAACAAAGGAGAAAAGAAAAAGAACACTACAGTATAGATATTTGTTGCTTTGTATGCTGAATCTTTTCCATCAAATTTGTTTCTAAGTTTTCAGGATATACTTCAGATACTTCCAGTTAATTACCATAACACAAGTTAAAGAAATTACGTTAAGTTTAAAAAAACAAACTACTGTAAATATAAAATAACATCAGATTAACAGTAACAAAAATTAATTTACTCTCTCTCTAACTTTAAGTTCTGAATAGTTGCAGAACTTATTAGTTGCAGGTCGGCTTGGTGGTGGCTACTGGTGGTAGTCGGTGACAGATCCTGACAAGAAATGTAGCTAGATGTTTATTGAATGAATGAAATTAAAAGCGAAAAAATATTAAAGAAATGAATAATAAAGAGAAAAAAAATGCAGAATTTTACCTGGTTAGAAACTTGTAGGTCGACAGCAGCTTCAAGTAGGAGACTATGCTGGTGGCACTTGGCAGCGACAGTCGGTGACCGGATTAGTGAAAGAAACGGCTATATGGTAGTCTGGTGGGAAGCAAAGCTGCAGGACTTGAGTACTGGAATGGAAGAGAGTGAAGAGACGAACTGAGTCAACTGACGAGTGACGAAGAGTGGAAGATTGAGACAGTGAGACTGGAAGTTTACACAGTGGAGAGTGGAGAGTGACGGCCTGACGGGTTTTAGTTTTAGGGCATCTGAAATTTTCAGATTTGGCATTTGGGGATTTTTTCTTGCACAGACGACTCGTGACGTCTTTCACTCTTAGTCTCTTTTGTTAATTTGTTTTTTTTTTTTTTTTTTTTTAAATAAAAACCGGATACCGGGTACCGGGTTTTCTAAAATTAAAAACCGATACCCGAACCGAAAATACGGATACCTTCTAAAAACTATCCAAAACTGATTCGAATTTTCGGATATCCAAAAATTCAGATTTGGTTCGGTTTGATTATCGTGTTCGGTTCGGTTATCAGTTTTTTTTTCACAGCCCTATGAGCAATTTGATAATACCGTAATGGGGTCTATACGCTCTGGACGGTCATATCGCGTATTCGTGGGGTATTATTTCAGTACATCTAAATTTCGTGAATTCAACTGCAATACGGAGGCCATCATACGTTTCTCCAGTCCAAAATATTTAATAAAGAAGTGTGGGGTCCGTTTATTGTTCGCTCAAGAGATTGGGGAAGCTCTGAAAAGATCCAAATGTTCCATCATTGACGAAGAGGAAGCACACTCCAAAGGATTGAAATCTTCAAATTTCTTTAAAGGGGAATCCAGCTCAAGGTAATTAAATAACATATATGCCTGCATCTTTACATGAGTCACATAATTAAGTATTTTCATCTCTACACTATTTGCATGCTTTATGACTAATTTCTGAATGATTTTCTTCTGGTTTCAAATTTCATTATTTACGTCTAATTTAAGATTGTCATAGCTTTAAATTTACTTCTTCATCAACTTTGAAAATAATCAACTTAAACTATGTTAGAAATTAGAATCCTTGGTAAATTAGATTTTTAAATTGTTTTGATATGAAAAATGACCACCCCCTCCACTTTCACGTTAATATCTAACGGTATAGAGTCTATTTGGTAGTTTCCGATAATTGTGGGGCCTAAGGAAATTTCTTGAGTTTGAGGGGTTTTAATGGGATTAACCCTTGCTAGTATTAGTGACTACATGAGCTCCTTTTCTTTAAACTCGATATATAGACATGCATATTTTATTTTAAAAGATTTTTTAAACAACTTTATAACAAATTCAAGTACGATAAAATATAAAACAAGTTTTTTTTTTTCTTTTTTTTTTTTTAAACTGTCTTCGGATAAATGATTTTATATGCGAAAACTACTTAAAATACCCTTCTACTTTTGACAAGTGACCATTTGACATTTTTTAATTGTTTTATTAGATAAGGCCTTTCATCTACTTTTGTTCTATTTTTATCCCTCTACAACTTTTATGCCTTTACTCTAGCAACTCTAGCATTAAAGTGACTCTAGCACTAGGGTCACTAGAGTTTATTTATTTATTTATTCTCCAAATTAGTGTTAGATATTAAATATCAAAATTTCTTTAATCTAACAAAGAAATTAACTAATTATATTTTATTAACAAAATAAAAAAATAAAATATATTGTTTTTACAAAGAAATAGTAAATTTATATAAGAGTTATTTTAATTTTATAAAAATATGAAATAAAAAAAATTTAGTCTGGTGCTAAAGTTAACAAAATTGAAAAAATATATATTTTTACAAAGGAATACTAAATGACCATCTAAACATCTAGAGACTAGAAGATGGATTTTGATTATATTAATTCTTTTTATAATTTAAAGTTTTGAAATTTTGAGTGTTTTAGAAGAATCTTTATAATCAACCTATAAATATGAGAATAAAGTAATTCGGTAAATCATAATCATATAATTGATTCAGTTCTACAGTATTATATATTCCAAATCGTCTAAAATGATTTAATGTAAATGTAATCTTTTCTTAGTTGCATATTTAAAATATGATTGGCTCTATATAGAGAGCATAATTTGATCATTAACTGCATATATGCTCTCTCCATCTCTACACTATTTTGTTATGTCTTTCATGCTTATGACTCATTTCTGAAATAGTTTCTTCTGCTCTCAAATATTATTTATATATGCTCATATGACTTAGGAAATTTGTGTTTCATATTGAGTCAAATGCAAATTTTTAATGAAGTTCAATTGAAGATTAATCTTTTGTTTCTAAATTAATAATCTCAAAGTTTAAGTTTTAATGTAAATTTTGCAAAAAGATAATCATCAAAATATACCCATCTAGAGACTAGAGAGTGGATTTGATTATATCAGTTCTTATTATATGTTAAAGTTTTGAAATTTTGAGTGTAGGGAGAATCGTTTGATGTACATGCAATTGTTTCTTAGTTGCTTTCTTTAAAATATGATTGACCGTAAAGTAATTATCCTAATTCCTAAATCGAATAAAATAGGTTTACCTTTTTCTATAATATTATATATGTGTGATGAAGTAAGCACGTTTTGATGTACATATAATTGGCTGTAAAGTTTTCTTAAATCGAATAAAATAGGTTTACCTTTTCCTAAAATATTAATTGTTTGATCATCATTTTGATATGCTTTTGATGTTTTAGTATGCAATTCGATGTGAAAAGGTCTGGGGTGCATCTGGAAGAAGGAGAAGAGTTCTATCCAAGTACAAATGAATACAATAGCTTTACTCTTTTAGGTTTAAATAAATTCCCTCAAGATTTTGTCAGATCATATCCTTTTACTCCTTTGGATTCGGATGAATTCCCTCAAGTTTCTGTTGCATCACCTGTTATTTTGATTTCCGATTCTGATGAAGACAATGATGGAGATTTTGTCAAATTACAGCCCTTTACTCCTTTGGATGTAAATGAATTCCCTCAAGATTCTGTCGGTTCTCCTATTATTATTATTTCTGATTCGGATGAAGACAGTGATGGGTAGGACATAGTGGAAGTGATTGCCTTTATGATGAAGATGAATGACAATCTACGGAATTCAAATTCTTATGAAAAGGGAAACACCCATATCTTGTACTTTCATTTTGTGAATATATTGGTAAGTCCGAATTTCAATTTCTAGCTTAAATATATCTATCATTTTCTCTGTCATATTCTTTGATATTCAATAAATATTCGGTAAGTTAAGAAGCTGAATGATATTTTCTAATGAGAATAATAATACGTATCAATATTAAGATAATATAGTTATTTGTTTGAATACGAATGGGAGCCTTCTAAATTGAGTTCAACCAAATTCTTTTACTGGTTTGTTGT